TACACTTAAATAAATGTCACGAAAATAATACAGAAGATGTTATAATGTACACTTTATAAAAATTACTTTGTAATTAGTATTATTTAATTCAAGTTATTTTTTTAGAAATCGAATTTCTTCCAACATTCAGTTTGATGTTTCAAAGCAACCTTCAGAATCATCTGTTTTAGCAGAAAAAGTTAGATGTATCAGCAAAAAATCACCGGCTAAAAATACAATTAATTAAATGGTTCAATAAATAAAAATACAAGTTCTGGATTATTGTCACATGTTGTTAGAACAAGTCAGAGTCTAAAGGCCGTATATGATGAGCAGATTGCAAGAATGATTTCTGTAACAAATTCATCATTTCAATTAGTTGAACATCCAGAATTCTAAAAACTTATGTTGATGTTACATACCCTCTATGCCGTCCCGAGGGCATAGGGGGTATAGCTCCCCTACAAACTATATTATTCGGCAAATTGGATATTGGAGTCGCCAAAATTGAATTTGTAGTTGGCAGTCGGCTAATGCCAAAAAAAGAGGACCTTTTTTTTTATTTAGGTGGATAACTTAGTGGACAAAAAATTTTTTTTTGGATAAAGTCGGCAAAAAAAAAAACACATCACCCCCATCCTTTAAAACCTCTTCAGACCGGTCCTGGTTGAGACCAGGTATAGTGGCCCAACAAGAAAGTCAAACGTTCATTAGGAGCCTATAATTTGTATTACAGTTTTTTTTTTTTTTTTTTTTTATGTTCTTATTACAATATACTATCGTTGTACATTAAATATCAGAACACGGAGACTCAAAGAGGATCGTAAGATCCTGTCACAGAGAACCGTTTAACAATGCATTAAAAATATAACCAGTTACATAATTACAATAAATGACGTTTAGAAATAAAATTTAAATCTAACCAGATATTTCAAAACATAAAATAACGTTTAACAACGTAAAGAATATATATAAAACTAAATATTTCAATATAAAACAATATATTTAGGAATCACACACTTTTTTAAAAGGTATAAACTCAAAAAAATAACTTTTTTCAGCTTATTTTTCAAAGTAAGAAAACTCCCACTTTGGGAAAAATCAAAATTTTTTAAATCTGTTTTGTTCCACAGAAAAGCGATATGTTAAAAAAGTTCTTCTAAAAACTTGTATGAGAATAATACTGATGAATAAGATTGTAATTTCTTAAGTCATATTTGTTTTTTTTTTTTATTGTATATAAATTTTGAAAGGATATAGGGGTTAGGTTTATCTTACATTTGTACATAAATAAAAGAACATTAAAAACATTTTGCTGGTATATATTAAAAACATTCATTTCCAATAAAAAAGGTCTGGCATGAGTATAATGAGTATATCTTTAAAGTTTATTAAACGTGCTATATGCTTCTGTTGCCGATATAGAGGATCTAATTGAATTTTTTTAGCACTACCCCATGCGATGTTTGCATAGTTTATATGGCATTGAATTAGCAAGTGATAAAGTTTAATTAATGAATGTCTATTTACAAAATTTCTCGCTTTATACATTACTCCTTTATTTTTTGAAACTTTATTGCGCAAAATTTCGATATGGTTTTTCCAAGTTAGATTTTTATCAATAAAAACACCAGGAAAATGTATAACTTTTGATTTTTTTATTTGAACATTGTCAATATATATTTGAAGCATATCATTTGATAAAAGTTTTTTTTGGGATTTTGAATGAAATAAAGTCCATTTAGTTTTTTCCAAGTTAATTGATAGTTTATTCGACTTAAACCAATTTGAAATTTTAATTAGTTCTATGTTGATTTCATTAAATAGTGTAATGATATTTTTACCGGATAAAAAAAGATTTGTATCATCAGCAAACATTATTGTCTTCAAATTTGAGGCATTGTGCAGATCATTAACATAAATGAGAAAAAGTAGTGGCACTAGTATAGACCCTTGGGAAACACTACAGTTACAACTGAAACAAGTGATGTCTATTTAGCTGACACAATTGACAAATTTGGAAGCTCGCACACTTCTGAATATCTTGAAGAACTAGCAGTTTCGTCAATTAAAAATATAAAGCTTGAGTGTCATTTAGGAAGCATTGTTACTGACAATGCAGCTAATGAATCAAAAATGAGGCATAATATTGAATCTTGGTCAGATATTGATGTAGTTACATATGGTTTCTCTCATATTTAATGAATTTGTTAGCAAATGGCCTAGAAATTGACAATATTAAAGATCATATAGTAAATATTGTCAAATATTTTAAGAACCACCATTTTGCTTCGGCAAAATATAGAAAAACTGGTGGACAAAAACTTGTATTACTTCAAGATACTCGCTGGAATACCATGTGTGACTGTCTAAAATTGTATATTGCAAATTGATCAACTTCGCTTAAAATCTGTGAGTCTAATCGGGCCATAATTACCACCAAGGCCGGCGCGATAGGGGTGTGTGTGTGGGGGGGCGGGGGTGGTGACACCTCCCCATCAATGATTTTTAGTCGGCAAATTGGACCCTTTTAGACTAGTTAGTCGGCAAATGTCGGCTCTTTTGATATAGGTTAGTCGGTAATCTAGATAGTCGGCAAATGTCGTCATGGCAGTCTTCAAATTTGACCTTTTTTTTTTTTTATCGGCAAAATGTAATGGCAACCTCCCCCCCCCCCACGTGACACCTACTCGCGCCGGCCCTGATTGCCACTACAGTGCAACAAAATGTCTCTGACTTAGTCATTAAGAGATCTTCAGAAGATCTACTTGCTCGCTTAGAACCTATTGCTTTTGCACTTGATAAAGCACAAAGTGACAAATGCAAAATTGCAGATATAGTAGAAGTATGCAAAAATCTAGAAAACAAACTTTTGTGTAAAAGTGAGAAAGTTATCGAAAAGAAATTCAAAAAAAGATACGACAAAGCAGTGACACTATCCCATCTTCTGCCTAATCTTCTTCACCCTCATTACCAAGGTAGAATGTTGAATGAAATTTGAAAAAAATACTGCTTTGGAATATGCCAATCTACAATACCCACATATTATTCCTACAATTATCAAATTTAGAGGAAAGTTATACCCATTCCTGGAATTTGCCTTTAGATTGGAGGTTTAACAGCATTATCGTCTGTTCAGTGGTGGAGATCACACCGAGATAACATTGAAAGTAAAACATTAAATACAATTTTGCAATTGATGACTGCGGTAGCTTCATCTGCAGGAGTTGAACGTGTGTTCTCCTCGTACTGCTTGGTACGTTCAAAACTGATAAATAGATTGGGTACAGAAAAAGCTGCTAAGCTTGTGTTTCTCTTTAAGGCAATTAATCAGCAGAAAATTATTCAGTTTGATGTTGATGATTAATTTTAATGCTGCACACAGGAGAAAAATTGATAATTAGGCTTATTGATTTATTTTGCGTACTGTAACATTACCTGTTTTATTTATTTTTATTGTATACTTTGAGTCATTAATTCTATAAATGCATAGTTCTGCTACATTTAATTAGATTTATTTTGAAATATGACAAAAATAGTTTTTAAATAAATTTTTATTATTCAAAAATCAAACATAAAAAAAAAACATTACTTGTTTTATTTATTTTTATTGTATACTTTGAGTCATTAATTCTATAAATGCATAGTTCTGCTACATTTAATTAGATTTATTTTGAAATATGACAAAAATAGTTTTTAAATAAATTTTTATTATTCAAAAATCAAACATAAAAAAAAAAATTACTTGTTTTATTTATTTTTATTGTATACTTTGAGTCATTAATTCTATAAATGCATAGTTCTGCTACATTTAATTAGATTTATTTTGAAATATGACAAAAAAAATTTTTAAATAAATTTTTATTATTCAAAAATCAAACATAAAAGAAAAACTTGATTTAAATCATTTGTCATCCGAAAAAATCTTTTGATTTAAATCATTGATTTAAATAAATGCGATTTAAATTGGCCAACCCTGTTTTTTTTTTTACATTTGCATTACAATTCTATACAAAAAGGATACAAATATTTTTTTATTTTGTAATATTATCTTATTCAAATTTTAAAAAAAGCACATGTCTGTTTGTAATTAAATAAAAAAAACATATAATCTTATTACATAATTTACTATTTTACTAAACAGGTTTATATCTAAATAACGGTTATACAAGTATATACAAATTGAAAAAGATCAGTTTTTCAAGTATATACAAATTGAAAAAGATCACTTTTGCCTTTAAAATTTACAATGTCGTGATGTGATCTAGACAACTTTTATTTATTGTCAAAAAGAGCAACAAAATACATGTTTTGAGATTACGAAATATGATTTATGTTCATTATGCTCACTAAAACTTAATAGTCATTATATTGGCAAAAAATATTTCGGCTGAGATATTGTTAATATAAAGGCGTTATACAATAAATGAGAAATTGTTAATATAAAGACGTTAAACATTATTATTCGATACAGTGAGTCAACTTACCCCTTAAGTACAAATAGCTTACCTCGCCTGAGGGTAAGTTGCTCATATTTAAGATGATAAAATCATACGCTTTAAGATTACACTTTAACATTAATAAAAAAAGTGCTATATAAGCTACGGAGCTCACATAGGCTACTAGTCCCAGTCCCCCATTACTAAATAAATAAAGTGATTTAGGCAGCACTAGTTTATTAAGATTAAGTAAAATTACAATCTTTTAAAAACTTTTTATATAAATTATAGTATGTATATATGTATATGTATATATATATATATATATATATATATATATATATATATATATATATAAATATATATATAAATATATATATATAAATATATATAAATATATATATATATATATATATATATATAAATATATATATAAATATATATATATAAATATATATAAATATATATATATATATATATATATATATATATATATATATATATATATATATATATATATATATATATATATATATATATATATATATATATATATATATATATATATATTAAAAAGGTCTATTTGCTGGAATCTGACTTGAACTCAACTTATAACAAAAATATAAAAAAAAATAGATATTACTTTTCTACTTTTTTTTTATAAACAATAAAATAAAAAACAGACCTAAGCTGAACCGAAATAAAACTTATATAACTTTTATCACAATCGACTTAGCGTGTATAGATACATAATCTCCCTAATTATTTATTCAGCTAAAAAAAAGTGCAAAAATATGATTAAAAAACAAAAGCAAGGTGACTAAGTAAAAGAAATAATTTTGCCAGCTTCAGTCTGTATATAAAATAATATTTAAAAATACAATGTTTATGTACAATGTTTGACAAAAAATACTATGTTTATATATAAATATATAAACAAATATAAATGCTTATTTTTTCTAAATATATCATTCGAAAACGTAAAAACAAAATCAAAAACCCTAAAATATGACTCTTATTTAACACTGATCGTTTACCGTAATAATAGCATAGCAGATAGAAAAAAATATCTTCAAAAATCGTACAATATGAAAACAAATTTAGAAAAGGAAATTTAAAATAAGTTCAAAAATGATTGATGAAAATAATTTTTAATAAATAAAAAAAACTTATGATTTTGAAAGATTGATTCAAAGTCAAATTCACATACGACACTAATGTTTTTATTTTAGAAGAAAAACTTAAAAACTCGATTCAATTAGGTCGACCTAATATATGATCGGCTGTTTCGATAACCTAAATAAATTTCTTGTTTAAACTCATTGAATTCATAAATTTAAAAAAATCTTTTAAATTTAAAAATAATTACCAGTGCAAAGTCAACACCCTCAAATAACGCATGAACAAATCTTCTTATGCTAAGTCTGTAAGTAAACATTCCCAGATGTTCCATAACTTGAGAATAAAGACATAGATTCTGAAAAGCCAATGGATGTTTAGAACGGAGACTAGAAGAAAAATCTTAACAGTTTAATATAAATTAAATATAAGTTCTTAACAGTTTAATATAAATACACATACACATATATATACACACACACAAATATTTATCAAAATATACATAAATGCATATATATATAAATACACACACAATACCTATACATTATATACATATATATATATATATATATATATATATATATATATATATATATATATATATATATATATATATATATATATATATATATATATATATATATATATATATATAAATAAATTACATAGATACATTTTTTTGGGGAATTTTTAGATAATTTAGTTATAATATAAGGGATCGTCCATAAAATACGCAAAGCAAAATATATTAAAAAAAAAAGAAGTAGGAGATTATTTTGATTTTTTATCTAAATTAATACTCTGTGAGGGAAAACTTTTGATCTTTTTTGTTTGTTTTTTTTGTGAAAGTTTGCGTTACTTAATTTACGGATGAGTATTTTGATAAAAATCATAAAGTTAATAAAACACATGTTCAATTTGTTAATTTGCATAAGCGTACTATATTGTAATCCCGGTGGGAAATCAGATAGCGACTAGTCAGCAATATTCTTAATAATAAAGACAATACAACAACAATACAATACAACAACAAAATATTTCGTGTTACAGATGTTGCAAAAACACAGGTCATTGCAAATAGTGGTTTACTAATAAAGCGCTATACCTAAATAAGATAAAAAATAATAATAACAATAATAATATTATGTAATAAGTAAAACCACATAAAAAAAAGTAAGTAAAAAAAGGAAGTTAAGTTAAATAAGTTAACATAATATTAACTAATAAAAGTAAAACTGCATAAAAATTTATTTAATTATACCAAGAAATCAGACTTTTTGAATATATACAACATAATTAATATAATGTACATTTATATATGCACATATCCTTAAACAAGAATTATAATAATTTAAAATAAAATAAGTAAATTATAATAAAAATAATTATTTAAAATAAAATATTAGAAACAAAATTATAAAAAAACAATAAACTATAATAAAAATAAAAAAATAAGTTAAAAGGTAAAAAGTAAAAAGGTAAAAAGTAAAGTTAAGCGTAACATTTTAGGTAGAAATGATGGAGTGACTTTAAGAACAGATTCTTGACAAAAATTTGGGCACGAAGATTGTTAGCTGAATAAGTCAGCAACTAGCTAGAGACAACTTGTAACAATAAAGACTGTGTTTATGGTAAAAAGAATTGTTAATCTAGGATTGCTATTCTAGCTAGCATTGGTGGCAAAATTCGTATTATATTACTATATTACTTATAATTATATATTATTATACTTCATATTTATGCCATTTATTATTCCAATTCTTATATTATTTACGTTCCATAGTTCACACTTGTCCAAAAAGAGGGTCCTAACCTCTTTGGAAATGACCTGAAAAATCCCTCGGAGGGGTGATTCTATATGTAATAGGAATCACTTTGAAAAAAAAATTAAAATCTTTTAATTACGTCTGCAGGAGAAAATTGCATTTAAAGTTTCTGCCTAAATACAGTAAAAACCTTTATTTTCAAAAAGTGTTTGCACAGCCAAAAATTCAAAAAAAAAATTTTTTTGCCTTAAATTTTACAAATATCACAAAATGATATCCTTTAGATTCAAAATTGTTTTAATAAAGAGTATTTTTATATACATTCCAATGCTAGTATATCAATATAACAAAAAGATGTGCATATATTTCTAAATATATATACACTGAATTAAATATATATACACTGAATTACAAAGTAGCTTAAACTAATACAAATTTGAAACTGTAGATATTTTGATATCGAAACTGTAGATATTATTTTGATATCAAAACTGTAGATATTATTTTGATATCGAAATTGTAGATATTATTTTGATATCGAAACTGTAGATATTATTTTGATATCGAAACTGTAGATCATTGTCATTGTAGTGTAGTAGTCATTGTAGCTTCGACATGAATTGCAAATGCCAGTCAGATTTTTCTTATCATTGAAATTAATATCACACTTAAAAATTTTCATGATTCTTTCAATCAAAAAATCAGTTAATATGCAAACACTTTTCTTCAAACACAAAAAGCAAACAGATTTTCTGTAATCACCATGATTTTTTGCTGAGTTAGACATTTTTTACAAAGACAAATTAATATTCAACAGAAATGCCAATTTATTTGTTTGCATTAATTCAGAGGCAAAAACTTGGCGCCTACTTATTTCAATTTTATTGCCTTTAAATTTGAATTTTTATTAAAGAAGGAAAAAAAAGTTAAACAATAGGTTAATACAATGTTGTTTAGAGATATTTGCAACATTTATGAAAAAACAAAAGGGTTTTTTAATGACTTTTAGCAGTGGAAACTTATTTTGAAAATTAAGTCAACTCTTAGTGCAAATTAGGCAAAAATTTTAAATGCAATTTTCTACTGCGGACGAAATTAAAAGATTTCAATTTTTGTTTTAAAGTGATCACCATAACCTATAAAATCACCTCTCCAAGGGATTTATTGGGTCATTTTCGAAGAGGTTAGGCCAACTGTGAGTTACTAAAGGCTTCGTAAATCAAACCTTTGTAAATCACAACACACTTTATCATTTTAATAACACCTTTATTTTTGCTTGTGGTTGTATATTTTTTTAAAATGATTTTAGTATTTTTATCTAATGTTGATAGCTACAAAGCTAAGATCTGTAGTGATCAAATAAATACAATTGTTTTGTTAGAATAGATACAATAACATTATAATAATTTTGTTAGCTAAAAGATGTGGTGTGTATGTGCACCACAGATCTTAGTTAGCTAGACCTCTTTAGCTTTTCTAAAAAGTTGTGGTGTGTGTGGTTTGTGGTAACACACTACAGCTTTTTAGCTAAGGATATCGACTACCTATCGATTTATAGTTATGCTTTAGAAAGCTACAAAACTACGATATAAAGCTATTAACATTGTTTTAAAGCATAGCAATAGATGGCTATCACATAGCAGTAGGTAGTTTTAGTCACCTAATAGCTAAAGAATTGTTGTTATGTAGCAGCTGGAGACAAAGCTACAACATGTAATTATTGACTAGCTTAAGATTTGTTGTAATGTTGTAGCTACCTACATACCTACAATCTGTAGCTATTGATTTATATATCAACAGCTACAGATTGTAGGTATGTAGGTAGCTACAACATTACAACAAATCTTAAGCTAGTCAATAGTACATATTGGTACATATTGTAGCTTTATAGTTAGCTATAATATTACAATATATTGTAATATTATAACTAACTAAAAAGCTACAATATGTACCCATCGACAAGCTACAGGTTTATTGTTATGTTATAGCAAACTACTGTCGTAGCACAGTAGTTAGTACTGCTACTAAGTCTGATGTTTATAATTGTTAGTCCGATGTTTATAATCGTAAGTAAATAATGCAGTTATCAAGTTTTTGATGTTTTCTGTTAATGCAAAAATTATATGTTAGCAACATAAATATTTAACTGCATATTATACTTTAAAAGATTTAGTTATGCTATTGTTTTGCTGGAGTGAATTTTGATAGTCTTGCACTAACGGTTCAATTTTTATAAATTGTTTTTTAAAAAATAAATGAAGAGAAAACAATAATCCTCTGTAGAAACACGATCTGCAATATTGACATTATGACAAAAAAATATTTTATGTACCAAATAGCAAAAAAAAAGGAAAAAAAAAATAAATATTGAACTGAAAATGTGGTCAATAGAAAGAAATAGAAATGCTGTCAAATTACTTATGTCACCGAAGACAGGTGAATTACAACCATCAGCAAAAGAAATAGATTATTAACTGTTCAGAAATTAACCTTTGAATAGCACTTGAAAAGCCCTGGTAGCAACAGTGAAGAAGTGATTGATGAAAGCACGGTTTCTGAGAAGGAAACCACTCCATCTGTCCCAAAACAAGAAGAAAAAAAAGAATAAAGCGGGCATAACTGCACAAAAAATAGACCATTAATGATTGAAAAAGTTTATTAGACCAACGAGACAAAATTTCAAAGGAAAGATCGTTTGTCTAATATAAGTCAGTGAACAGATGATAAAACAGTATGTGTTGCCAATTTTAAAGCATGGTGAGGGTAATTTTATAGTGTGAGACCGTTTTAGTCTAAATACCACAGGTGACATTGTAAAAATAGAAAGAATAATGGCAAAAGAGGTATATTTAGACATTCTAAAAAGTCATGCTTTACCTTTGGGAAGTTGGATTATTGGGGAGCTATTCATTTTTCAAAAATATAATGATCCAAATATTCTTTAAAAAAAAAAAAAGTAACTTGGAAAATGATTAAGTAACAAAAAGAATGATTTAGTCTCACAAGATCCAGCAGTCTCCCTAATTAACAATACCTCTCAATAAACTTTTATAGGATGAATTAAAAAGAATATCAAAAATAAAACTAATCAAAAATTAAATAACTTTTGTTTCTTTCCCAATAGTAAGTGAATAATTTGATAACTTTAAAAGTATGACCATTTCAAATATTATATGTATGTATGTATGTATGTATGTATGTATGTATGTATGTATGTATGTATGTATGTATGTATGTATGTATGTATGTATGTATGCGCATAAAAAAACCTGTACCTAATTAGTTCTTGTTGTGCGACTTTGGAAGAAACTCCGCTGCTGAGATTTACAATCTGTTTTAAAATTTCATCACGAACATTTGAATGAACAATTGAAGAACCTTTAAGCTGTTCATCTTCATTTTTATGAGATATTGTATTTTCATCTGATTCCTGTAAACAACTCTGAGAATATTTGCCTAAAACAAATTTTGTTTGAAAACAAAAAATGAACAAATAAAAGCAAAATAAGCTAAACATAACAAATGACCTTAAAGTATTTTAAAATGTTAAGTTACAAAACAAGTATAATTCTTACATTTTTTTTTAAGCTTTTTTAAATTTTTTCAAAATTTATATAGTTTTTTTTCATTATTCCTTAATATTGTATGCTTAACATACTTTTATAATTATTTTAAAAAAGACTTATTAGAAATATAAAAAGTGATGAATACATGAAGCAATAATAAATATATAAATAATAAATATATATATATAAAAAAAAATATTTAAAAAAAAAATGTATACTTTTTATATTTGAAAAACTTTTTTTAATAAAATGAAGACTAAAGTTAAGAATATAATGAAATAGGATATAATAAAGCAAATAGGATATAATAAAGCAAATAAGATATAATAAAGCAAATAGGATATAATAAAGCAAATAGGATATAATAAAGCAAATAGGATATAATAAAGCAAATAGGATATAATAAAGTAAATTAGAAAATAATAAAGTAAATTAGTGAATATAATGAAATAGTTTTAACAATTTTTTTTTGTTTTCAATTCACTATTATATAAATTTTTTACAAATACATGTTGTCTCAAAAAAATGTACCAACAATTTGAATGACAAAAGAAAAACATTATTTATGAGCATAGAGTAAAATTGAATAGTTTTGAACACTGAAGACAAAAGTAATCATAGAAATATGCCTGCAAATGTTTTAATTAATGACCATTGTTTTAATTGTTGTCAAGATAATGCTGATAATGTGAACCGAGGGATTTGCAGACAAATAAAAGCCCAGAAGCATGAGGTCAATAAAACACAGAATGAATTGAATGGTAGCCTTGCGTTCATTGTTCCTTTGATGTTTGTTTTTTTGAATATGGTGTTTAAGTGTTACATGATAATATATGGAACCCAATATGTGCAATTATGGTGATAAATGGAGCCACATAATTTAAATGATACTTCACTGCCACACACAGTTTTGTGTGGAAACCCTCTTCTGTACGTTTTTCCAGGTTCAAGTTGTAATATTTTTTTAAGATACCCTCTATTTTTCAAACATGTTAAAGGAATCTTTTTCTGAATAAGATAGTATAACATTTAAAGGAATAATAATTTTGTTGATAAATTGTTAAACTTTTGACAGAGAAATATTTTATTTTTAAATGAAAAATTGACATAAAGCAATTGAAAGTAAAATTTGCTATAGGCAATAAAATGTATCCTTGTATAGATTTTTCCAAAAGTATCTTTGTATAGATTTTTCTGCTATTCAAGAATTGTTTTACAATGAATGTTGCTACTTTATTTAAATAGTTATGAGTTATAAACATGGAGTTGAAAGAAACATGTAATATGCTAGTTGAGGTAACTGTTACCAGCAGAGGTGGAAAGTAACGTATTACATTTACTCAAGTTACTGTAATTGAGTAGTTATTTTATGAATTTTTACTTTTTAAGTATTTTTTTAAATGTGTACTTTTATTTTTACTTAAGTATTTTTTTTTCCAAAGTATTGTACTTTGCTACAATTGAAATCATATGCATTACTATGAGTAAAAAAATTTATTATGTATTGTTTAATTTCACAAATACTATGATTTAATTTTTTTGTTTTTTTGAGTTTTGCTCATTTTAATAAAAATGACTCTTTTAAGTTGTTTAGAAAAAAATGTTGAGCGCGCTTATAACAACATTTAACTGCTTTAGCTTGGTTTCTTTTCATGTTTTACAACCATAAAAAAATTGTCTGTGCAAAAAAAAAAATTATGCAGAAAAGACTACGCGATTTTTGTTTTTTTATTTGACAGCTTTGTTACTGAAAAAGTAACGCAGTAACTTTTACTCTGAGTACATTTTTAATAAGCTACTTTTTACTTTTACTTAAATAAAACTTAGTAAACTTTTTGACCGGTAAACTTTTTGACCGGTAACTTTTACTTGTACTTGAGTAAAATTTCACTCAAGTAACAGTACTTTTACTTTAGTACAATTTTTTTTTACTTTTTCCACCACTGGTTACCAGTGACACTTTCCGTTAAAAAATTTAGTTGTGCCCATTAAAAACGTTCATTAAAAAATGCTCCCAATGCAAACATCAAAAAAGGCAGCATTTTAGCGACAGTTAAATTATCACATTTTTTTTGAGACACTCTGTATTTTTTCAAACATGTTTCAGAGAAACTTTTTCTCAATAAGATGATATAAAACTTTACAAAATTTTTTTTTTTTTGATAAATTATAAAATTTTTGACCATGTAACAACTTTTTTTCTTCTTTTGGCATAAAACAACTAAAAATGAAATTTCTATCAATGAATTTAAAATGTATTCTTGTATAGATTTTTATGACGGTTGAGAATTTTTTTTAATGGAATTTTAGGTAAAAAGTCAAGAGTTAAAAACAGAATCGGTTAACTATGGGTATGAAAGAAATATGCTAACTGTTAACTTGATAAACAAGAATTTTATTAATTGTTTAAACTGATGAATGAACATTTATATTCTAATACAAAACATGCATTGAAAAAACTTGCATGCACAGAAAAAAGAAAACCATACACAGAGGAGCAAGTCACCTTTTCATTGTGAAAAAATAATATTGAAGAAGATTTAGTAGAAGACCTGGGAAATTTGAAAATAAAATCAGATGATGTCCTTGGGTAAGAATCAGAAATGAATGTAAAAACTATTTAATAGGAGGAATAAAATTTCACAACTCAGGGAGAAGGGGAACCATAAAATCTAGGAACCTATCTAATTATACACTCATAAAATTTTTCAAATAGGATTTATTAAAATTTACAATGATATTATCGCACTAGTTACTGACTATATGCAAAACCAAGTTTAATCTCATCTGTTTTTCAATGACACACTAAAGTGAGATCGGTATGAGCTTATCAAAGTAGGTATTAACAAAAACACTTTATGTCATTAGCGGAAATTTGATCAAGGCAAAATGAAAAAATCAATTACACAGTTTGAAATTGCATTATGGTGCTAGTAATTTTCTATCTGAACACATTATTTTCAAATCAAAAAAAAAAAATGTATAAAAGATAGTGCATAAGTGGTCCATACCTATACACAACGTTTCCATCCAGATGAATAAAAGATAACTATTGGTGCGGTGACTTATATAAAAATTCACCAGAGCTTAACTTTGATGAGCAACAAATAAATCAAGCAACAACAGCAATTATAACAATAACAACGGTCTTGGCTGACAAGGTTTAAATCTTCCTTAGGGCCTTTTTTTATCTAATTTTTTTTTTTTTTTTAATTGACATTAAAGTAGTTTTATGTTTTTAAACAATTTTATTTTTATTTTTCAAAGTTCTAATAATAAATTTATCAATAAGAATAAATCAACAGACTTAGCTATAGTAAAGCTATAAAAAGGAGTGTCAAAGATCAACTGAGTCAAACAGGGATTGATGTAGTGGTGTGCATACATCAACTGAGGGTTTAGGTTTCAGCAGGCATTCATGTAATTAAAAAGAAATTATTTCAATATTTATTTAAATAGGGTTTATAAATTAATTTAATAAACCATAAAATTGTCTAGTATTATTAAGCATGAATGTTCAAAGCTTACGTTTGGTAACTTAAGCTTTGAACATTCATACCTAAGGCATAAATAAACATTTTTCAATTTTTTTCTATATTATACAGGCAACTATATCGCTAATTTATATAATAAAAATAAAATAATAAAAATAAAAACTAGCATTTGATATTTTATTTCAAATGAGAGCAGCTGGTTAGACCAAACTTTCAATACCATCTCATATCATTGTATACATTCAAATATCACTGTATACATTTGTATCAACACATTGCAGTATTACAGATTTAACATTGCAATATCACGTCAAAATATCACATCCCAATATCACAAATTCAACATCGCTGTAACTAGTTATTTTAAAATAAAATGATGAAACAAATTTTTTAATTAAATTTTAAAAAAAAGTTTTTTTTTTAAATTAACAATTTTCAAAAAAAAAAATTATTAAAAAATAAAAATTAAAAATTATTTTTAGCAAACAAATTTATTTAGATGACTTAAAAAACTTTTAAATATTGCTAAATTTTATTATTACGTTCAGAGTTTGCCTATTCGAAGTTTTAATATGCACAATATTGAAATTTTTATATTCAAACAAGTTATTTTAGTGAGGTGCAATGAAATGTTTTTCTTGTTATTTTAATTGTTTACATACTTTTTTCACAACTAAAGTCTCACCACATTCCTGTTAACTGTTGTTTTTATTAATTAGTGACGCATTGTGCATAATTCATAAGTGATGAAAGCTATACAATTTTAAAATTTCACAGATTTATATTTGAAAAATAAAACAAATTTATTTTTCAAATACAGTTAACTTGGTGACTTAATAATAATAGTACCAAAATTTGATAATTTTATTCAACACTTAGCTTATTGTAGATTATGTAATTTTACAGTATGTAAAAAAAATAATAAATTATGCTAGATTTTTAGGTGAAATAGTCATGACCGAAATTACATGACAACTAAATTTAGGCAATTTTACAGTATATATAAAAAAAAAAAAAAATTACAAAAGATTTTTTTGTTTTAGTTGAAGTTTTGTCAGTTTTTTGCTACTTATACCTCAAAGCGTTACCAATTACTTTGAAATTCGGTCACGATTTTTAAAATAACGGTTACATGAGTGTTCTACTATGTAATACCAACAATTTTTGTTATAATTATTTTATCGGTACCTGTACAGCTTTCATTTTATAGACCAAAATAGAGATTTGTTACTTAAAGCGTGAATTAAATTGGCTTATGCCAATGGCGTCGACACAGCCTTCAAAGTGGAGGAGGTCAACCCCTCAATTTCTAAAATAAAATCCATAATTTCTAGAATAATTGCCTATATTTCTAAAACAAAAAGTAGAAATGGACATGACCCCTTAGCCTCCCTGG